ATCAATCAATGTAATCCAATAAATCAACAAAAAGAAATATAAAAACCATATGATAATATCAATAGCTGCTGAGAAAGCTTTCAACAAAGTACAACCACTATTTATGATAAAGGCCCTTGAAATTCTCAGGATACAAGGAACATACCTCAACATCATAAAGTCCATATATGACAAGCCCACAGCCAGTATCATTCTCAGTGGCGAAAAGCTGAAAGCATTTCCATTAAGATTTGGAACAAGACAAGGATGTCCACTCTTACCACTGCTTTTCAATAGAATACTGAAGTCCTAGCCAGAGCAATAAGACAAGAGAAAGACATACAAGAATCCAAATAGTGAAGGAAGAAGTCAAACTATCACTATTTGCAGATGATATGATAATATACATAGAGAACCCCAAAAACTCCACAGAAAAACTAATTCAACTAATCAATCAGTTTAGTAAAGTAGCAGGATGCAAAATAAACACACAAAAATCAGTAGCCTTCCTATACACAAACAATAAATATGAAGAAGAAATCAAGAAAACCATCCCTTTTATTATTGAAATAAAAAAAATCAAATACTTGGGAATAAACCTAACAAAATAGGTAAAGGACCTATACAAAAAAAAAAAAAAACCACTATAAAACACTGTTAAAAGAAACAGAAGACACAAAGAAATGGAAAGACATCCCCTGCTCATGGATTGGAAGAATTAACATTATCAAAATGGCCATCCTACCAAAAGCAATTTACAGATTCAATGCTATTCCAATAAAAACTTCAACGACATTTTTCAAAGAAACAGAACAAATATTGATGAAATTCATATGGAGCCACAAAAAAACCCGTATAGCCAAAGCCCTACTGAAAAAAAAAAAAGAAAAAAAAGAAGGGAATGGAGGCATCACACTCCCAGATTGCAAACTATACTAATCATCAAAACTGCATGGTATTGAAACAAGAACAGACACATGGACCAATGGAACCAAATAGAAAACCCAGAAATAAACCCACAGGTTTATGGTCAACTAATCTTTGACAAAGGAGCAAAGAATATGCATTGGAGCAAAGCAAGTCTGTTCAATAAATGATGCTGGGAAACTGGGCTGCTACATGCAAAGGAAAGAAGCTTGACTACTACCTCACACCATGCACAAAAACCAACTCAAACTGGATTAAAGACCTAGACATAAGACCTGAAACCATAAAATATATAGAATGAAATACAGGCGAAACACTACATTACACACACCTCAGCAACATCTTTAAAGACTCATCACCCAAAGCATTGACAGGGAAGGCAAAGATAAACAGCTGGGACTACATCAAATTAAAGAGCTCCTGCACAGCAAAAGAGACAATAACCAAAACGAAGAGAAACCCCACCGGCAGGGAGAACATTTTTGCACCCAACACTAATGATAAAGGACTGATCACAAAAATCTACAAAAAGCTGATGAGACTCAACAAAAACAAAGTAAATAATCCAGTCAGAAAATAGGTAGTAGAGCTAAAAAGAAACTTTTCTGAAGAAGAAATGCAAATGGCCAACAGGCATATGAAAAAATGTTCAACATCACTTGTAATCAGGGAAATGCAAATCAAAACTACCATGAGATATCATCTCACACCAGCGAGAATGGCACATATTAAAAAACTAGCAACAACAAATGTTGGCCAGGTTGTGGAGAAAAAAGGAAGTCTCCTGCACTGTTGGTGGGAGTGCAAACTGGCCCAACCACTATGGAGAGCTGTGTGGAGATTTCTGGACCTACTAAACATAGAGCTTCCATATGATCCAGCAATTCCACTCCTAGGTATTTACCCAAATGACACAGAAACAGTAATTCCAAAGGGCACCTGCACCCCTCTGTTTATAGCAGCACTATTTACAATAGCTAAGCTATGGAAGCAACCCAAATGCCCAAAAATAGAGGATTGGATCAAGAAGATGTGTTACATATACACAAAGGAATATTACCCAGCAATCAAAAAAGATAAATACATGCATTTTGTAACATGGATGGAGCTAGAAGGGATCATGCTTAGCGAAATAAGTCAGAAAGAAAAAGAAATACCGGATGGTCTCACTCATAGCAGGAATTCAGAAAACCTAAATAAGAGACCAGGAAAAAGACAAATCAATACAAAGTAAAAATCAAAATCAACAAGCAACTATAAACCAGAGACACACTGTGGGGGGAAGGGCAGGGAAAGGAAGGACTAGAGTCAAAATAAGGGGGGGGGGTGCCATTGTATGGGGAATATAACCAAAATGAAAATGCATACATTGTGCAAAGGTGAAAAAAGATGTAAGAATTATATAAAATAAAATATTTAAATAAAAAAATAAAAACACATTGACATTACAAAGTGCTAGTGGAACAACTAGAACTTTCATCTTTGCTGTAGGGACTGTGAAATGATTAAGTCACTTTAGAAAACAATTTGGCAGTTTCTTATAAGGTTAACCATACACTTACCACATAACCTGACATCCTACTTACAGGTATGTAACCAAAAGAAATGAAAACTTGAATGTTTATAGAAGCTTCGGTAATGTTTTGGTAGTGACTGCCAAACACTAAAAACAACACAAATTTTCTTCTATTTATGAATGGATAAATATTCATGTAGTGGAATACTACTCAGCAAATAAAAAGGGAACACTGTTTTCATGCAAAAATATGAAAGGTATTATGCTGAGTAAAAGTAGTTAGTCTCAAAATATTGAATACTGTATAATTTTACTTAAGCATATTTTGAAAATAAAATTACAGTGATGGAGAAAGCTCAGCGGTTGCCAGGGGACATGTGTAGAGCATACATTACACTATAAAGGGAAGAACAAGGGAAGTTTGGAGGTAAAGGGACTATTGTGGGGACCTAACTTCAGTGGTAGTTACACAAATCTAGAGGTGTTAAGAAGCTTCCACAGAATTGGACAACTCTCCTTCAAGATCGAATCTTCTCTACAATAATTTAAAATTTTGCTAAATCAAATAATAATAAAATAATTGTAGGTGCACCAGATTTCTGTGTATGGTAAAGGCACCTAGTAGGAAATATCTATAAAATGGTGTCAGTTAACAGAAGCTGAATTCAGAATATACACATGTAGGTGGGGACAAGAAGAACAGTTACTTAAAGGCATCATTTGCATATTTCGGTGTATAAAGGGGATAAATGACAGTCTTGAGTCACAATTCTCTGAAAAGGTAAAAAGTTGTGATTTGTAACATTTCTCTCCCAGGACCTTTGTATTCATTGTCTCTTATTACAGCCTTAAGGGAGGAAATTTAGTTTAAGATATGGTAAAAGATTTGCCCTAGAATTTGATCTCTGTTCTGTCTCGTTCCTGACTCCTCATCTTTAATGTAGCCTGTAGCCTCCCAGAGACACATAATACCACAGTGGGGATGAACAGTTATTCTAATTTCCCTGATCCTCTGTGCCAGTAGCTGTGGTTTGCAAGGAGGGTGGGGAGGAGCTGCCCCAAGGGGACAGATGCCAAAGTCAGAATCTATTACTGGTTGTCACGACTAGGGGAAATGATATTACTGGCATTTGATGGGTAGAAATGCTGCTAACTTCCTACAATGCACAGAACAGATCCCTGAGCAAACAATCATCTCACACCAAATATCACTTCCTAGTTAAAAGGAATAAAGGACACATGCTGAACATACCCATGAATTTTAACCCATGTTAAAATTCTTATCTCGTTTATTTCCTCAAAACCCTCTTCGGGGGCCTCCCCGGTGGCACAGCGGTTGAGCGCTGGGTTGCGAAGCTGCCCGCAGCCTCTGCAGCGCCGATTTGTTCCCCAGCTGCTCCCTGGCCACCAAAGGAGGGTCCCACATGGCGCGCAGACCTCTACTGTCACCCGCTGCTCCCCTCAGCAGTGTACTTCGGTCCTTCTGCCTGCTCTGCTCCCTGCTCTGGCTCTGGTGAATTCTCTCACCCTCCCACGCTTCTGACTGTACCCAGTGCTTGTATAAATAAAAAAAAAAAAAAAACCCTCTTCGGGTAGGCATTCAGGAGCTAACTTACAGGTAAGAAGATTGCTGCTCAGACTCACAAAGGAAAATGCCCCAACCCCAGTGATAAACAAGAAGCTGTGGGCGCCCCCAGACCCTGTGACTGAAAAGTCCAGGGTAGCCACAGCATGTGCTCTAGGGGAGGGGGGCCTTAAACCCTCCTTCACGTCATATCCTCTGGCGTCAATATCACCTCTCAGTCATGAGAAAACTGTATGGGGTGCTGGGGGTGTGGCATGGTGGAAGGGCAAATCTGAATTCTTGAGGCTCCCAGAAATGCGTGAGGCCAGTCATCACTAAAGAACACACAGGACTGGCCTTTCACCAGGCATCCTCCACTTCACCTCTGTCCAAAGAGCCTAGAATCATCCCAGCTCTGTGCTCCTGAGTCACTTTCTCTCCTCTCCCACTAGGTGGATTCAGTCACAAGGAGGGAACAGGGAGACACATCATAGAACAACGTGTACAGTGTCCTCCAATAACACTCAGCTGCAGGGTCTGCCTGAGAAAAATAAACAAAACTCTAAAAAAGAGACCTATCATCACTCCGAGTGCTTCTCTTCCAATTTTCCAATTTTATCTTTTCACATAAGTAGTGTCGACAGTTCCAACAATTAAAAATGGGGTATGTGTGTGTAAGAAGGAAGAAAAGGGAGAGATGAGGAGAGAAAATAAAGAGAAGGGAGGAAGAGAAGTAGAAAAACAGAGGATGGCAGGAAAGGTGGACTTGCACACAAAGCTCAGAAACTAGAGCCCCAAGACTGGGGACCCCTCTTATAAATCAGGTGGGACCACATTAATGGAAGCTGCTCTTCAGAATGACTCTAGGTAGGTACACAGAGGCCTCAGGCAGGCAAACACCATTGGTCTTGAACCCGACAAAGCAGAATGCGTTCCCATGAGGTAGGACTCTGGTCACAGAGCTGTCCAGCCTCGGACCTCCCCACCAGCCCCACCCCAGCAGGGAGCACTCACAGTTCCAGAATCAGAATGACGTCAGTCTTGCTCTCGTAAACCTCGTGCAGGGTGATGACATTGGGGTGCTGGATCTCCTTCAGGATGCTGACCTCCCGCTCAATATCCTCTCGGCTCACACCCCGCCGGCTGGATTTCGTCCTCCTTTTTTTGATAAATTTGGCAGCATACTGTAGACCGGTACTTTTCTCACGGCATTTCTTCACCACTGCAAACTGCCCACTGGAGAGAGAAGACAGGAGGAGGTCACAGGGCATTTACTGTTCACTACAAAACAGAATCTGAGTGGGATATAGCACAGGGAGACGATGTAAAGTGAATAGGAAAGTCCAAACTGTGGGAGATGAACAACTAAACTGGAATACTAAACATTATATTCAGTTTCATCAACACTGTTGCTTTATGAAAAATGCTGCAGGGAATACAAATTCTTTTTGTCAATTATACTTCATGAATGAGTTCTCATGCCCCCATTTCCACACACTCCTCTTTTCCTCCCATTTCAGATTCAGGACAGCAGGAAGGAGGCCCCTGATCACACCTCTCTTCCAACAAACTCTTTTCCTGCATGTCTAAGGGAAACAAAGAATTGGTAAAATTCTTTGATAAAAGAATTGGTAAAATTGGTAAAATTTGGTAGCCATCTGCCTTAGGATTTTTTCAGCAACATAATAAATTCCCTTTACTGTTAAAGTCAGTTTGATTTGTTTTTTCCTATTTCTTGCAGAGGAAAGCTGCCTCTACATCTTACATGCTACAGCATGTACCCAGAGCTTCCTACCCATATAGGGCTCTGCTTTCGTTTTTTTTTTTTTTTTTTTTTAAACTATTTTTTTTTTAATAGAGGCATGTTTTATTTATTTATTTATTCATTTGTTTGTTTTTGTTTATACATGCACTGGGTACAGTCAGAAGCGCGGGAGGGTGAGAGAATTCACCAGAGCCAGAGCGGGGAGCAGAGCAGGCAGAAGGACCGAAGTACACTGCTGAGGGGAGCAGCGGGCGGCAGGAGGGGTCTGCGCGCCATGTGGGACCCTCCTCCGGTGGCTGAGGAGCAGCCGGGGATCGAACTGGCACTGCAGAGGCTGCTGGCAGCTTCGCAACCCAGCGCTCAACCGCTGCGCCACGGGGAGGCCCTAGGGCTCTGCTTTCAATGACATATTTCTAGATATTTATTAGACGAAAAACCCAGAATACAAAAGCCTGCAAATTTTTGTTCACTCTTCAGAAACTAATAAGACAAGTACAGTAGATATTTGTTGCTTGCTTTTCCAGCAGCACTACCCTTTTCTTCCCTGTTCAACAATCTTTGTATCTAATAATCTTTGAGGTTCTGGGAAGCTGTATTCCCCTGGCGCCAGGCACAGGATCTATTGATAAAACATTCTAGAGAATGTGGAGACAAAGACCTTTTTTAAGACTCTCTGACCACCCAAAAGCTGCTGCCAGTCATTCTGGAGCCACGAGGGGTGCCACTCGTGGGTTAATTCCAACCACTGCAGAGGCAGAGCCAGTAGAAAGAAAAAATGAGGTCTGTAGTCACACTGTGGCATGGCTGGATCAACCCTAGCCTGAAGCCATGCGCCTTAGAATTTTTCAGCAACATAATAAATTCCCTTTACTACTTTTAAAGTCAGTTTGATTTGTTTTTTCTATTTCTTGCAGAGGAAAGCAGCCTCTACATCTTAAATGCTACAGCATGTACCCAGAGCTTCCTACCTGTATTTAAGGGAGCATAGCAAGACTTGACACAAAATAAAAGGTGAATATGTAAGCAGGTAATTTGAGAGGAAAGCAGGCTCCCTGCCAGTAAGCAGACACAACAGAAAGATTCTTTTTACATAGAGGCTGCCTCCCCACTTCTTTCTTAAAGCCCAAGCAGGGTTGACACCTCATCACAACATCTATACATTTCTTGGCACCTGCTGGAGACTGGTATGTAGAGAATTATCACAATTATTTTTAGCTAGCTTTCTTCTCCTAGCAGAACAGAAGAGAAAGAGAAAATCAAATTAGGGGTAATATTTTGACGTTAACAAATGGATACTTTAAAATGTTACTCATTTAGTTTAGCAGCAGGAGGCCAGTAAAAAAAAAAAGTCAAAACACAAGATTATCTTTATAGCTGTGTCACATGCTTTGTATGGCAGGTCATTAGTACACTCCTGCTCCTCAAGCAGCAAGATAGCTGCAAAGCGGCAGAATAAAACCCACTGGACGCTGGCACTGACTACCTGCAATCTCATGAACTTACAGAGTCCTGGGATCTGTTAGAACTTTATTATGACAATTTTCTAATTTCTTTTGGGAGTGAAGAAGTGAACCTTCTCCCTCTCTGGCAGAGTGGGGCAGTAAAGATGGGGGTTATGGGTAAAAGAGGGAAAACAGTCCCTCTCCTTACACAGAGTGCAGTCATGTCCCCACTCTCTGGATGGAGACAGGCCTGGCAAGGAACCCCGAACTACAAGCAAACCATGTTTTCGGGGCTGGGCCCCCACAAACACACAAGCCGTAGTGACTTGTTTCAGACGAAGATGCTATAGTTTGAATTATATTGTTTAAAAAGCAAAACCAAAGAGAAAAAAAAATCCGCAACTGAACCACGAAGAATTTAAATACAAGCCTAATTTCAAAATTCCACGTTGACTGTATGCCCCTTTTAATTTCTTAATTATGGGGAGGTGCAGCAACCCTACTGGCTGGGGTAAGGAAAGCCCTATTTTGTGTGTGTTGGGGTACAGGGGAGGCAAGAACCCGTGCACAGGTCTAAACTAACCACGTCATCCAGGTTTTCCAGAAACATCTGTAGCTCACTCCCTTGCCAGAGAATCGCTCTCATTCACACTATGGAGTTCTCATGAGGGGACACTGGAGGGAGGGGGGTAAGAGACTGCATGTGAGGAAAGGTCTCCCATCAGGAGAGGTAATTCTGCTGCCTCACAGCACACTCTGTAGCTACCCTGGATTTTGGGGTTTGGGGGTCTCCACAGCTTCTTGTCTATCACTGGGATTTGGGCACATTCCTTTGTGGGTCTGAGCAACAATCTTCTTACCTATAAAATTAGGGCCTGAATATCTACCTGAAAAGGGTTTGGAGAACATAAATGAGGTAAGAATTTCAAAGTATCTTCAGGCTCATGGATATTTTCAATATCTGTTTTTTCTTCCCTTCAACTAGGAGGTGACATCTGAGGCTAGAAAACTGTTTGTTCAGGGATCTAGTCTTGCTTATGTATTTTTGTTTAAAGGTATCTTATTTAACATATGTTGTCAATTCACTGACAGTGAATTGGCAAACAGCCCTGTAACTCACGCCAGAGAAAGCTCCCCAGCACATTTACTTTCTCTGTGAGGAACACCCCAGCCTCTGTGCTTACAAACCCTGGACTTGGGCACCACACCAGGGCGCATTTAGAATAGTCACATTAACAATGAAAAGTACAAAATGTGCAAAAACAGGACATGAGATAGATCATCCAAAGGACCACCTTTGTTTACAGCCTGAGAGCTGGACTAGAAGGTAGAGAGTGGTTTTGACTGGCCTCAGCTGGGAGTGCCCACAAACCACCGCAGAAAGACTGAGAGTGAAGATTTTTTTTTAAATATTTATTTATTTATTTATAAAGCACTGGGTACAGTCAGAAGTGCAGGAGGGTGGGAGAATTCACCAGAGCCGGAATGGGGAACAGAACAGGCAGACTGAAAAGACACACTGCTGAGAGGAGTAGCAGGCATGGCAGGAGAGGTCTGCGTGCCATGTGGGACCCTCATCAGCAGCCAGGGATGGAACCGGCGCTGCAGAGGCTGCAGGTAGCTTCGCAGTCCAGTGCTCATCTGCTGCGCCACCAGGGGAGGCCCTGAGAGTGAAGATTTTTTGAGGTTACAGAGATTTTATCAAGAAGGTGAACTCACAGATATAGGTCCAGCAAAATAAGAGGGTTGTCTGACCTCTGTTTTGTCAAGTCTGAGTGTCTACACACACACACAGCCACACACACACACGGCCATAGTGGGTCTATCTTCCAGGAAAGAAGCCTCATGCCCCCATCCCTCAGCAGCTGTGTGAGTGTCAGTCCCGGTGTTGGTAGCAGGGGAAGAGGGCTGGGATAACAGGCAGTCCCCCCAGTACTTAGTGGGGATGACTGGCTTCTCTGTGTATATTTACTTTCCTCCCAGCTCAGTGCTCACCCTGAAAGCTGTATTAGATTGTTACTCTAGGAGTCCATGATTTAGAGACCCTTGACCCACCCACCCCAACCAAAGCCATTTTTTTTTTCAGTTGTCATTAGTGGTGGTGGTGCAGGATATTAGAGATGAGGATCTACCCCCCAAAGTGGGTGTCAGGGAGCCAGTGGGCTGAGGACCAGCTGCTCAGGAAGGAAAGGATCCTAGCAGCAATTAGCCAAACTTCCAACTCAAATTAGGCTTCATGAAACAAATTACTGTGCTTGGAAGAGAATTTTTCTCCAAGGAGGCTGCCCTCAGACTGTGGGCTGCCAGAGGCAATTGCACTGTGGAAAACCTGGCACCCACTGCCAAGTGTAAATCAAGTCCCGAGGGCCTAGTGTGGGCCTCCTGCCTGGCCTCTGGCTCAGCTGTGACTCTGGAGTCCCCAGGGTTGCAGTGAGCAGCAGCACTGGGAAAGGAAGTGGAGGAGGGGGTGATATGTTGAAGGTTGAAGCCAGCAGCCAAATTTTGCAATAGTTACACACACTGTAACCCTGAACACAGTACAGCCCTGTTGTACTTCTTTTTTCCTTTTTGGGGCTCTTTCTCCTTGCTGGTTGAAGAGGTGATATTTGGGGGTAATATTGCAGCAGTGCTTTGAGAGGTAAGTAACTGTGGGCTAGTAAAAATAACTACAGTTGTCGAAGATTAGTAATAGTTAAGTTACTGAAGTCTTACAGCCAAGCACTGTTCTAACCACTTTACTGGTCTTATCTAATTTAATCCTCCCCCCTGCACCCCAGCAACCCTCCCAGATGGGGAAACTTATTATATCTATAATTATTATATCTATAATATATCTATAATATAATATATTATATCTATAATATAAGGAAACTGAGGGACAGTGCACTCGAGTAGTAAGTAAGCCCATGGTTGCACAACTGTGCACAGTGGAACCCAGACTCCAAGACAGGCAGTCTGTGCTGCTGGCCTTGTGCAGTCAGCTGAAGCATCTTCAGCTTAATCCTTCTGGTTCTTAGATTATAGATGCA